TCCGTGATCTCGTTCAACTATGCTAAGCCACTATGCTCAGCGCACTGCCTACTTTTAGGCTGTTTTTTTATTCCCTCTATTCCAGCGCCACTACACTTTTTTATCGAGAATAGTCGAAAAAATTATTTTTGTTTTCAACCTAATTTGAACACTTGTAAACCTGGAGACTTCAAATTTACTGTGTATATACCTTTGGTGAATACAAAGATTATGTAATTTACAGATTTTGGATACCACCCTTCGCAATCAATTTGTAAAAGAACGCTTTTCCAGTACTAGAAACTTTGGAATGTACACACATTTTAACCATATGATCACACTCTAAAAGTTTAATTAATATTATCCGTCTGCAAAAGAAATTATTCAACAAATCCATCTACAAAAGAAATTATTCAACAAGTAAATTCTCATAATATTGCCCACACTGCAGCGCAGCCCTCATTCTCTAAAGTGAATTGAGTATATTGGTTTTGTGCAATGTCCGTCTTGTTGTGGGCGGATCGGGAAAATTTTAACACTATAAATTGGGGGTATACACGAGCATGTGTTCCAAACTTCAACTCTCAAGCTTTCATAGCACCGAAAAAATTGTGTGCATACAGACAGACGGATGAACAAGACGGACATGCACAATATACACATTTCACTTTCGTAACAATCCACAGCAAGGAATCATGTAAGCGACTCTGACTTTTTCAGCCAGCACGTCGTTGTGCGCAGCATGCACGCAATGGCTAGTCAACGTTTTTTTGTCAATAAAGAGTCAGACTGTTGCGTGCGATTGGCACTCCTTAGATTGTATATGTATTGGGAAACAAATTGAGCTATTAACGTTTTGATTGCTAATGAGCAGCTACTACCTGGAATGTTCCTATTAGGTTTAGCTAAAAGTTTATGTATAAGCTTACATTTTTTTTCGGTTATAAAAATACAAAGCGATAGAGATTATATGTATCTCCAAGTCATACATCCCAACATCTTTCTTATTTATTTATTCTACGGGTTTTTTTGCAGAAAGATCGCACGGCGCTTCAAAGCGGTTCTTTACAGATTTTCTTCAGGATCTACCTACGCCGGGCACAGGTGGACCTAGCTTTGACACAACCATTAACAGTAACATAACCGGACTTGTGGGCAAGACAGTTAAATTAACATGCCGTGTAAAAAATTTGGGAAACCGTACGGTAAGTTTCACTGACCGTGTATTTGTGTACTACTATCATCTATTGAAAGAAGAAAGTTCTTCCATACTAAGTGTACCATATTGTCTTCGTACAGCAGCAACTTTGGGAGCACATAAAATCAGGAAAAAATTCGTTTTTACATTCATTTGCCTTTAACATTCGCTACTAGCACTGACCAAACAACACATAGACTAGACATGTAGAGCAACGTTTTTCCACGCCGCAACATCTGTGTACAGTGGTGCCAACTTAGCCTTTTACCGGCCAGATCTGGCCTTTTTCAACTGCCAATTGTAATCTAGCTGCTGGCGGGAAATTTGGCACTTTTAAAAATCAAATCAGCATTATTTAAAGTGCCTCCAAAGTACTTGAATATTATTGGCACAAACAATTCGTACACTGCCGAGGAAAAAATTGATTTTATCGTATGTCAATTTTCGAATAAAACTATAATTCATAACAAGTAAGAAATCTCTAGTCGAGACTACTCGAGTACGAGATCCACTGAAGCCTTCGACCAATTGATATTTCAATAATTCTTCTCTTTACACAAGAAACAACACATTCACACATATGCACGTACGGATAAAGACGCATTTGCTGCAGTGTGTGCCTACTATGGGAACTTAACTGTTTAATAACTTTTCTTTGACTTTTTTTTATGGACAAAAAAATCAAGTCTCTAGCTCTTATATCTTCATACATACGGACAGACATCCTAATTCGATTCAACTCGTCGCCCTGATCAAGAATATATGTACTTTTATACCCTGATTCGGCATTTTCAATGGGTTTAGAGTATAAAAACTGAAATGGCTATATTTTCTGGCTATTCTTGAATTTGATCTAGCCTTTTCTAGCAGGTTTGAAAGGATAATTTAGCATTTTCTTGCCCGGAAAGGTTGGCAGCACTGCTGTGTAGCAGGTCCCGGCCAACTTTGTATTCGCTCGCTTGGTATTGGATGGCTCGGGTAATGAAAGATAGCACGACGAAATCAGTGCGCTCTAAGCACGCAAACGAAATGGTCATGTATGTGCTTTGCGTTACTCTCCCTCTCTCTCTCTCTAACTCCTTCTCTGTGGGCTCTCAAATCATGAAGCTCAGTAGCGCACAAAAATTGAAATTTCTTCGCGACGGTCCCAGCTCTTTCCTTTTGAGTGAAGAGTAT